ACAATTTATTTCTTAGTTTTTTAATCTAGTCTTTATTCTTATAATTTATTCCCTTACAAATCCATTTATTCCAATCAATATCAGAATTATAAATAGATGAATTTATAGAAATCCTGGTATTTTTATCTGATGGAAATGTATATATAAAATACTAGTATTATTTATATTTATTTTATTATTCTAATTTCTCTAAAAAACTAATGCAAACATTTACTATATTATATTTACTTATCCGATTAAACTATTTGTGTTATATATTATTTATTCAATGAAATATATTTACTTTTTAATATAATTCAAAAGGAAATTCATAATATCTTTTTTAGCTTGAATTATCTTGGCTATTTGTAATCTATAGAGTTATAAATTCAAACTGATATTTTTGTTTTGTTTATAATTTTAATAAATTGAATATTTACATTTTTACTTTTAAGTATTTCATCTATTTGTATTAAGAATTTATCAAAATTTTCAACTGTAACTTCCATAAACAATCTTATTAAATTTTTTTATCTTAATTTTTTAATTATATAATTTTACTAAGTTTAAGTAAATATTAAATTACTAATATATAAATTGTATTTTTACTATAAAAAAATTAGTAAAATTTTGCTAAAATAATTAATATGAATATTAATTAGTTTTTTTATAAAAAAAAAAATTAATAATTTTATTTATAATATTTCATTCAATAAATTTTTATATTTACATTTTAATAAAAGAATTAAATCGTTATTTAAATTTAGAATATTTTTTCTTATGTTTTTAGTATAATTTAATTTATCTACTTTTTCTTAGTTTTGTAAAATAAAATTAAACTTATTATTTTATTAAACTTTTATGTTTTTAGTACATTTTATTATATTATAAAATAATCAAATTAAAATTATAATTATTTATATAGTATCATTTTTTATTATATTTATTTTAATTTTATCATTTAGTTAAAAAAAAAAAATATTTATTCGTTTTTACTTTTTCTTATTAAGTTTAAATACATTAAAAATAATTATATTATTTATTTATAAATATTCATTCTATTTCTTATGTTTAAAATCGAATAATTTAAAATAAAAATAAAATTTTTTTAAAAATTTATAATTATTGTAATATTTAAAATAAATGTAAATTTTTAAAGTATAAAAATATTGTAATACAATCCGATTTAAATATTTATTAATTAAAATCTTATTAAATATATAAATTTAACTTTTTATTATTTATTTATTAAATAGTTATTTCTAAATAATATTAAAAAAAATTATATAATCTTTTTTTTTTGATAAAAAATAAATGAATTAAAACTTTAAAATTTTAAATTCTTCTTATTAATAAATAAAATTATATAGATAAATCATATTTTTATTATAAAAAGAAAAATATTATTAAAAATAATACATAAAATTATTTGTAAAAAATACTATAGAAAATAAATAAAAACAATTAAATATATAATAATAAAAAAATTTATAATTATTGTAATAAAAAATTTTAATTAATATAAATATATAAATATATAAATATATAAATATATAAATATATAAATATATAAATATATAAATATTTTTATACATAAATAATTTTTCTCATTTATATACAAAATTTCTTTTTTTTTTTACAATTTTTTATTTAATATTTAAGTTTAATTTATTTATTTTTTAATATTTCTTTATTTTTTATAATTTCATTTATAATATTAAAATATAATATAATATATTTTTTATTTATAATTATTTATTTTATATCAAAGTTTTAAATTCATAAAATTTTTTTTAGTTAATCCTACCCAAAATTTAAAATCCCATGTTCTTTATCCATTTTAAAATAAACTATAAAAAAATAATAATGTACATATTTTATAAATAAAATACATTTTAATTAATCTTAAAACAAGTTCTTCTTTACATTATTTTAAATATCCTTAATATTTTTCTAATTCTTTATTATCCTTTTAATGTTTTAATATTCCTCTCATAAAAAATCCAACATCAGTTGGTTTTTGGATAGGTTATTTTGCTAAATCAGTTAATATTTTTAAAGCATTTTATTCTTTTTCTCTAAAAAAAATTCATATATATATATTTTTTAAAACTATATTTTTTGAAAAAAATAAAATAAAATACTCATTTTATATCTTTTATAAACATGCTGTTATAAAGACTATCATATATATCTAAAAAACATCTCCTGGCCCTTTATATATAATAATATTTATTTAAATATATATTATTACCTTATATTTCAAAGTTTTTAAAAAATAAATTAGGTCTAAAAATTTTTATAGATTCATCTATAATATCATCTTTATCTAAATCCTGACTAATATTTGCAGGTCCTTAAATCTTAGTTTTTATAGCAGGAGTGGCTAATCCACATGATTATTCATAATTTTAATCATTAAATTGAGAATGTAATGCCTTTCAAAAATGAAATATTATATAAATGATTAGATTTAATGTATAATTTTTAAAATAATTGATACCATATTTTCTTAAATTTTTTTTTTTTTTTATATATATGAAAATATATATTTAATTATATAAATTTTTTTGCCTTTAAATAAATATTTTTTTTTATTTATTTATTTTAAAAGAAATTTAGCACTTTTTTGTAATAATAATAAATTAATTTTATTCTAGATTTAAAATTTATAAGAATATATAAAAATTCATTTACTTATATAATTTAATTTACTATTTTTTTAATTCATTTTATTCATAATCAACTTATTAAAATTTAAACAAAAAAAGTTATTTTATTTTATTTTTTAAATAAAAAAGAATTTTTTTTACATTTGACATTCTTATTTTATTTATTTATTCGAACTTTATAATATCTTCTTCTTTTCTATCATTAAATTAACTTATTTAGTAAATTTATTGTTTTCCAACTGACTTATTATTACCTATAGCTTATAAAAAATAAACTAGTTTAAAATAATTAAATTAAATTAAAAAATACGATTCAATCTATTGCTTTTCGCTAAAATATTTCTAGTTTAACTACTTAAAGGATTATCCATTAAAAGATTCATATTTTAACTAGTTGCATATATTCTCTTTCTTAATAGTTTTCTATCATTATTGGAAATATTTTAATTAACCTAAGTCTTAAAATCACTCTCAAGGAAAATAAACCTTCCATAAATCTAAGTTTCATCAAAAACTTTATCACATAAAAATAACATTTTATCAATTGCTATAATACCTTAATTATTAAGAGCTCTTCCTTATTCTTTGAAAAAATTCTAATAAGTATTCTAATTATTTATGTTGTTTTATGTGAAAAAATATAAAATAATCAATAAATATAGAATATATATAATAATTTTATATATATATATATATATATATATTTATGCATTTTAAGAATAAAACATTAAATACCTTAAATATATATTCAGTAATCATTTTAATTGTTAAAATAACTAAAGGCATACCTAAATTAAGCCAAAGTTTTTAAAAAGTAACTTTTTATTTTAATTATGCAATACATTCTTACATTTAAACATAAATTTATTTTTTAGTTAATAAATCGATACTTTTTACATTAATTTCACCAAAAATAATCCAATATGCAAAATGTATAAATAAACCTATTAATTTTGTCATTATTTATGAATTTATTAAATTTATAATTATTTCGATTTATTTTTTCTCGAAAATTATAGCTCTTTAGGCTTGTTTTTGGATTTCTTTCTTTTTTTTTAATTCTTATCCATTTGTTATACATCCGTTAAGGTTATTACTAATTACATTAAAATCATAAATCTTTGTTTCTCCGGAAAAGGAATCTCGCTTTTTAAATTCTTAATGGTATTGAGGTATTATTTATATAGGAAAATTTAATCTATATTCTTCTAAAATCAAAAGAATTTCCTTTACTGATATTTCTAAAGGTACCTAAAGCTCCTAAAGTTCATCTTGGTCAATTTTTATTTAAGAAAACGGATATTTAAAGACATTTTTCGTAAAAATTAAATCCGTTTCTTTTTCTGTAGTTATATATTCAGAATTTTCTTGCATATTTTAGTTAATTTCTTTATTTATTTTTAAATTAATAAATAAATATTATTTTACTTCTTTATGTAGATTAATTAAAAGGGAAAATATATGTTTATTTCATATGTTCCACATCAAAATTAAATTAAAAGACAATTTTTTCTGTAAATTATTATTATTTTTCTTCTTATAAGTATTTCTGTTTATTTATTTTTTCAGACAAATCTTTTTATTATAAAGATTATTAAACTAACTTTTTTATAATTATTATTCTTCTGTCTTTTAAGGTAACTCAATATTAGGTATTTTCAATAATTTTAAACCTAATTCTTCAAATAAATTCGAAGATTATTATTATTATTATTATTATTGTTATTATATCTGTTCTCTTTTTCGAGTGGAAATTACTATAGTATCGGCTGAAAAATTATTATCTATTATAATATTAAAATATATATTTTATTTTTATTTTTTTAATATTTTGTAACTGTTCCATTCTGATGATTCTGATGTTATTTCGCAATTTTTAATTGGATATTTTTTTAAAATGAATAATATGTTTTTCTAATTTGGTTCTATGTTTAATTTTTCTAAATATCTAAATGCATATTCATATTCTATTACTTTTATAAAATTATTGTTTTTTTATATATCGATTTCCTTTTGTAATTTAATTTCATTTATATATTTTATTTATAATAAATATTTTTTTAATTAATTTATATTATTTTATAACTTATTATGTATTTCTTAATCTTATTTTAAAAGTTCTATCATTCAAATTTTATAAAAAAGTGCCTCTATTAGACATTTTATTATTAAATATTATTTAATTTTTTATAATTGCGTATTGTATAATTTTATTCAAAAAATTCAAATATATTTTATTAAAAAAATATAAAAAATAAAAAATTAAACATATATATATTCAAATTAAATAGGGAATTATAGCCTTTCTATTTCTAGGAAATTCTTTACAGAATTCTTTTTTATATCTTCTATGTTTTTATAAAGCCCATTAAAACATTTAAATAAAACTTACAAAAGTAAAGAAATAGGCTATAAAATAAAAGAGAAAAAAAATATAAAATATATATAAATATTTATATATAAAAAAAAATATTATATACATATATATTGAAATATTTATTTTTAATTTTATATATATATATAAATATATATATATATTTATATATTTATATATATACATATTTATTTTATAAAATATTACATGAATAACACCTACTAAAAGCTGAAAAAAATATCCAACTACATGTTTCCCATAAATAATTTGCGCACGAAACTTAATTAAATCCCCATCCCTTTGGAATTTTTCTTCGTTAATTCATACTTAATATATCTTCATCTTTTTTTGTTTCAACATTTTTTCTTATTTAAGACAAATGTATATGACACATCATATTCATAAACTCCGATGCTACCCATCCTAAAACAAGTAATCCTTTAGTTAATTCATTATATTAAGTTTCTTTATAATAAAAGAAATATTCTACTCCAATAAATGTTCCAAAAAAGAGCCTTTTTAAATATATATATATATATATATATATATATATAGTTTTTTTTTATTAAAAAAAAAATACCAATAATGAACAAAGTTTTTCCAACAAGAAGATAAAGGCATTGATTCTCTACTAAAAACATGAACAAATTAAGTTTCTAAAACTCTTTTGATATAATGAATAGCTCCCATTCCTAAGCCGATTCTTTTTTTTTGAAAAAAAAAAAAAAAAAATATATATATATAAATTTTTTAACATGTTTTTTGTTTACTTTTAATTAAATGTCATTTAATGTTTTTTCTAACCTAAATAATAAAATAATAAGTAAATTAATAACGGACCTATATATTCGGCAAAGAAAACCTAATTTAATATAATATTGTTTAATATTGTAAAAAATAAAAAATATTATTAATTATACTGTAGACCATCTTAATTAATATCCTAAATCTTTTACAACTATTTCAATATTATTTTAAAATAAAGGATAAGTTCTTAATATTTTATTATTATCGTTCAAAACTATTCTATTTTCGCTTAATTATAAAAATGAAAACTAAATTAATTTAAAAAAATAATTTTATAAATACCCTTCACCAATAGTTAACCATTGTCTTAATGGTATAATTTTAGCTTTTTTATATTATATAATTAAATAATAAAAAACCAAAAAAATTAATACTAAGTTATTGTATTTATTTTTTAATTATTAAACGTTTTAAGTTTAAATATTAACTTCGACTTCGCCAATTTTCATCCCTTTACGATTTTTCACTATAACTCTAATATTATCAGACATTTTGAAAATAATTTTATTTTAATAAATATCTATTTTAAAAATAATAATATATAATATGCACTATTAATATATATAATATAATTAATTTATAAATTCATATTTTTAATGCAAAAAAAATTTTTTTGCTTTATTTTTTGTTTCTTAAAATAATATTATAGATTTTAATTATTATATAAATTATATTTAATTTCTAAAAATATGAAATATAATTAATTTTTTTCTAAAAATTTTCAAGAAAATTTTATTATATTTTTTTATAAATTTTTATATTTCATTATTATTAAAATATTCAATTTATATTATTTTTGTTAAAATAAAATAAAGAGAAAGAGTTTTTTTTTTTTTTTTTTTTTTTCAAAAAAAAAAAAACATTCTTAATTTTAAGAATATAGAAATATTGTATTATTAATAATTTTATATATTTTTATATAATATCATAAATTTAACAAAAGTTTTATTTTTAATATAATATTTATTTTTATATTTGTAAAAAAAAAAAAAAACAAAAAAACAAAACAAAACAAAACAAAAATTATTAAAAATAGTAAAATAATTTAATTACAAATTATTAAAATATATATATATATAAACACATATATTTATATAGATCTATAGTATTTATATAAAGCTTAATTATAATCAAAAATATTATAGAAAATATTATATAGAATATTATGGTCTATAAACAAATATATTTATTTGTTTATGTTATATATATATATATATATATATATAATTATATATAAATAATATATAAATTAAAGTCTATTTTAAATCAAAAAGAAGGTCTTTAAAAATTTTTTCTTTTAGTTTTAATTAAATGATATTATCTCTTTTTGCAAACTTCTAAAGCTTATAATTATTTTTAAACGTCTTTAATTTTAGCGACTCTAATCCACCAAGAAGGATCTGATTATAAGAATTCTTCGAAATATTTTTTATATGGCGAATTATCAAAAAGGATTAAAATAAATTCATTATTTAATTTAAATTTATTGAAATAATTTTAAAATTCTTCTACAAAAGACTTATCATAACCAAATTTTCGTTTAATTACTCTTTTAAAGCCTTTGAGGATATTTTTAGTATAATTACTATCATTTTTAAATTTATAAATTCTTTTTATTTTAGTCATATCATTATTAGAATAAATATTAATATTTTAATTTATTTAACCTGTTGTTTATTCTGTTATTACTACTTGATTTTCTTATTCTTCTTGTTTTATTTATTTTTAAGAATTTTTTAATAATTCTTATTAACTTTTAAACTATTCATAGTTCGGAATTTAACATGGCAATAATTATAATTTATTTTTCTTATTTTCTTATTAAAGTGCATTTAATAAGTTAAATTATTAAAGCTATTTTTAGATGAAAAGGGGATTTTATGGTATATATTATATTGATAAATATTAATTTTAAGGGACTAAAAGATAATTTTAGATTTATTGCTCAAATAGTTATTATTATTATTAAGCAAGCTATTATTAATAAATTTATTATTAGTAAAAATATTATTATTGCAAATATTATTATTATTAAAACTAAAGTTTTTTTATATCATTATCATTATTATTATAATTATATTATTAATTCTAATAAGTTTACTATATTGAATAATTTCCATACTCCTAACTATTATTAATATTCATAATATATTTTTAAGTTTTTTTTTTTTTTTTAATTTTTTTTTATTTTTTTAAATATAATTAATTATTCTTTTAAAATTAATTATTTCTTATTAACACATATTAAAGACTTACTTTATCCAAAAATTGTCTAAATTTTTTTATTAAATTTTGAGTAACTATTTTTTTGAGAGAAAGTTGTTTTACTTTATAAAAAAAAAAAAATAATTATTAATTTAATTTTAGTTAGT